CAGGGCATGTAGCACGAATGGGGAGAAGAGGAATGCATATAGGATATTGGTGGGAAAGCCAGAAGGAAAGAGACCACTGACAAGACCAAGACGTAGGTGGGTGGACAATATTAAAATGGATCTTAGAGAGATATAGGTTGGTATGGTATGGATTGGATAGATCTGTCTCATGATAGGGACCAGTGGAGGGCTCTTGTGAGCAGGGTAATGAACCTTCGGGTTCCATAAAATGCTGGGAATTTGCGCCAATTCGAAGGGAACCTGTTTTTTGGAGCTAGAATTTTTATATTCACCGGAGTGTGACGTATGAAAGGTAAGCTCGTGAGTAAAATGCTTTCCACCGCACAGGCGCTAGTGAGGCGCATGTGCACAGGTCTCCAAGACTGACAGGAGTGGTTCACTGATGTTCAAATCTGGTGCTTTTGCTGGCCAGGGAAGATGTTGAAGTTCATCTTCATGCTCGTCAAACCATGACTGAACAGTTTCAGCTGTATGAATGGGAGCACTGTCGTCTTGGAAAACTGCAACGCTGTTCGGATAAAACGCCTGGATCATATGATGCACCTGATTACCCAACCTGTCCACGTACTCCCTTGCAGCTACTCGGCCATGAAGGGTGAAGTGACGAACAGAATGCTGTACCACGATATTGCTGCCTAAACCATCACAGAACCGCCCCCGTTTTTCACTGTTGCAAACAATCATTCCAGACTGTAGTCCTCCTTGGGCGTCCTCTAAAAGTAATTCCTTTCTGATGCAAAAAACAATGCGGGTTCCGACTTATGTGACCATGACGCACCCCCGTTTCCATTTGTTTGATGTCCCGGATTTATGGTTGTGACATCATCGTTTGCGCAACTGAACATTACTCCCGGTAATCAGAGCTTTAGCAGCTGCAGCCCTACTCACGTCGGACATCTTTTTTTTTTCTTTTTGTGGAAACAGGGTCTTCAAGATGAATATCCATNGTTTAGCAGCTGCAGCCCTACCTTGAATTTTGAATGTGTGAAACTCAAGTCGGACATCTTTTTTTTTTTCTTTTTGTGGAAACAGGGTCTTCAAGATGAATATCCATTTATGCAGCCCTATCATGTGTGCTGTAGTAGTTCTGTGCTTTTTTCAAAACAGTTCTTCTGAATGTATGACGATCTCTTACCGTCAGTCTTGTTTTTCTCCAACTGTTGCCTTCCCAGGATTCGTGTATGCCGACATAACCTCAAAAGCTGTCGCTCTCCATACACCCAACAATGTGGCAGTTTTGTTCACAGATGCTCCTGCTAAACGCACATCAACTATCTGTTCTCTTTCAAAATTGGACAAGTCTGAAGAATGGCGCCGTGTATATATTGTATAAACTGACGTTTCGGAGGAACATATCGCCATATGCGATCTAGGAACCAGCGTGAGCAGGTGGCTGTCTCTTGCAGCTAAGAAGAGTTTTTAGTTGAGTTCCGAGGCTCCGGAGTGATTGAAGACGAACTGACAAGAGGACTTTATAGTGATGTGAACTGCTAGTTTATGTGTTGGGATCCGTTGCTAGGAGACGACTAGTGGAAACTGAGAATCCTAGTGCGTGTGCAACGGTGAACTGTAAATTGTGTAGAATAGAGATAGCGCTGTATTAATTGCTATTAAGAGAGATTGTAACCGAAATGCTAATAAATCCAATCATCAGATCTAGAACCCTTTATTTTCGTCACGCGTACACCCATTCTATTCAGTAGTCTCACAGGAAAACCCATACAATATTCCGTACATGAGTTCATTGTGCACCATATGTACGGGGAGTTAACAATGATGAAAATCTGAAAGAAAAATTTATATTCACTACAATCCAGAGCAGTAAAGGTGAACAGGAAAAGTTGTCCCTGTGGGTAATTAACTAAACACGTCATGAAGACGTGTTCAAGATTGCAGTTATAGCTCCACCATTCATAGTGCCACCTCAGCACTAGATGAAGGTGAATGGTGATCTTCACTCGCCTGCCTGTTTGCCTCTGCAGAAATTGCCCCCAGTACCCATTGGATAGAAGGGTTGTTCGTCTGCAAATAGTGTCTGGATGCTTTAGGGTTGAGAAAAATATCTTGCCCTTGTCGAGCATCAAACCCTGGTCATCCTGTTTTAGCCCGTCTATATACCGAATGAGCTATTCTGACAACCCAAAACAGTACCATACAAATGTTTACCAATTTTTAGCAAAAGCCCACTACTGAGGCTTGAAAATTAGTGCATGAAATTTCAAAAATAAAAAGTAATATACCATAATGGTGAAATGTTCGTAATTATAAAAACAAATAATTCTATTGGATTTTTTTTTCAAAATTTTAAAAAGAAAGTATTTATTTTCAAGAAGGATACAAAACAACAGATAAATACATTTTTACTTGAACGAGACAAAGGAAGGTGAAAAGAAAATATTTCATAATATGATCAAAATTTGTATCAAACGAGTACACAATCATTAAACCTGACTCTTTATATAATGTCCAAGAGGAAATTCTAAAGAAACCCTCGAAATTATTGGGAGCCGCGTTAAAAAAAAACGACAGAGAAAATTGGAAAAAACAAAACTATAAAAATTAAGACTTTTCCATAAAGATTTAACAACGTTAAGTTCTGCACAAGAACAAAAAACTTTTTTTTCGAGAGAGAGAACAGGAGAGAATCTTCTTGGTGACCTTACCATTCTTTCTTACAAAGTAACAAGTGAAGCATGAGATGCAAACTGTTAAGAACCACTACCCTACAATATCACAAAAGAAATTCGCCAGACTGAACTGTACACTGGAGACATCTATATCTGAAGCACTGAAAAATGAAACTGACTAGCCTCATGAATAGTCCCTTTCTTTTATACACCGTCTCCAAGACTTGTTTTCTCGGCCGTATAGAGCCTTCTGAAGATCCTTTCTATCAGTTTTGTCAAACTACGCAGCGTAATATCCCAGAAAGCAGTAGTCACTGTGCTAAAAACAAGTCTCTTTTTATTTTCATGTAATAAAATTAGCCAATAGAGGATGTTCAGTAATCCTCAGGGGTGTAACATTACAAATACAAAAAAGACATTTCAAACTGGACGTGCTCAAGGTTAGGAGCGCTACAAAAGTGGAAAGTCCATTAATTTATTGAGAAATCATATGATAGGAAAGAATAGCATCTGAAATCCTTATGAGAAAGCGATAAAACTTTTAATTTGTTACAGCATGTAATCGGACAGTCACGAAAAAAATTAATAGCAGTTTATAACAGCCATAAATATTCCTAAGAATATGAATGAAGTAAGTGTTCTGAAATCTGTAAAATAAAAATTGTAAAGCTATCCTTGTAACAGATCGTGGAGGCCCGTAGGGTTGTGAGACTTCGTGTTTGTCAGCCTTGTGCTCCGACCGCATCCTTACACCCCAGGAAGATTCCTGGTATTCATTTCTGTTAGAGGCTGACTCGACCCTAGGGCCATAGGGCGGCTGAAAGGATTAGTTAAGGTAACGTTCTTATTTGCTTAACTAATTAAGCACTACGCCATGAAAGCGTATGGGGGAGTGGATGTATAGTTCCACATTTTCTTGGCCTCGGCACTAGTTGGAGGTGAGTGGTCAGCTTCACGCTCCGGTCGCTTTACCTGCCGAGGAAGAACCCCCGTTGTCCATTGAATAGGACGCTGTGTGGGCCCCAGAGCCGGTCTCAACGACGTGGAGAAGAGGAAATTCTTGACCCTACCGGGTCTCGAACTCCGACGCCTCGGTCGTTCAGCCCGTAGCCAATCTCTATACCGACTACGTTATCCCAGCTCCCTGGAAGGATTTCGTAAATTGAAAAAAAAAATCCAGTGACCTGATCGGGAATTGAAACCGCCATCTTCCGGTTTGTAGCATAGTGCCGCAACCAACTACGCTACAGCGTGCCCCCCATTCTAAGATTTGTGCAATTCAAAAACATTAACTACGGTAATTGCTTTACACTCTTCTTTAAAACAGGTTTTTGGAGTATAATGAGGAGCATTTTTAACATACCCACATGAGGTTTTTTTTTTCCTTGGCACTACAGCCCCAGTGGGCCTAGGCCTACCTCCATGATCTTCTCCGTTCACTTCGGTTTTTCTGGATCTTACGTATTCGGTAGGACTCCTAGGGCGGGTGATCAGCTCGTCGCAAGGCCTCTACCTGTACACAAACACAGAAAAACGCACACACACAAAATAAACATCCATGCCCTGAGTGGGATTTGAACCCACGATCCCGATTTCGAAGCGATCGAACACAGTTCATGCCTTAGACCACGCGGCTACTGTGACTGACAGTGTATAAGAATAATATATAAGAATTCAGTCCGTACCTCACAGGAAACAGATCCGAACCCACGATCCCGATTTCCAAGCGATCGAAGACAGTTCATGCCTTAGACCGCGGGGCTACCGGAACCGGCAATGTATAAGAATTCAGTCCGTACCTCACAGGAAACAGATCCGAACCCACGATCCCGGTTTCCAAGCGAGCGAAGACAGTACATGCCTTAGACCGCACGGCTACCGTGACAGGCACCCACATGAGTTAGTACTAGCTAAATGTTACGGGGTTCAGACAGTTCAAACGTTCTCTATTTTAGTTGAATTATCTCAGCGTAAAGTACTGTGCAATCATAGTGTGATATTAATTAAGTTCTTGGGCCTTTAGACATATGGATATTGGCAATGTTATCGACTTCTCGAATGTACATGCTGCCTCCAAACTCATCCAACCCACCACGTACTTCGACCCTGAAGACGGAAGCAACATATGTCTTCGAAATATCGGTAACAGTGAAAAGACACCAAAGCTGAATCAATATTAAAATTGAACTACAGTGAAAGTATAAAATCAATTAGCTATATGCAGTATTTTAGGTTATGACACCTTGAAAACTCGTGTGTACCAACATTTCAGAAGAGTATACGGACTCAATCTTATACCACGAAGAAAGAGGCAGTATATTCCTCCGAAGCATTATTACCCACTTCCAGACACACTGCATGACCTCCACTCTCGCCAGATTTGAATCCTCTGGGTTTTTACCTGTGGGAACCCCCGAAATCCCGTGTGTATGCAGCTCCTGTTGACATCGCACTGTGGATGCCTGTCAGACTGTACGCAACTGCCCCGGCGTCTCTGAACGCGTGCGGTGGTCCATGGTGAGACGTGTCGAGGCGTGCACTGACTCTCATGGCGGGCATTTTGAGCGCTTATTATAAATGTATCCTTCCAGCCTTAACTCACAAATTAAATGTTTCCGGACACTTGTCGATATGGACATGCCTTCTTGTTTTGGTACCGTTCGCAAAATTTGCCCACAATTTTCAGTTGTTCTCTGTATATATTATTTTCGGATAATGGTTGAGAAAATAATTATAGCCCTTGGATTCAACGGACATACACACAATCATTATTTACGGTAATTAATCGTTAAACTGGTTTTCAAGTGACTTTATGTCACAACTTCTGGAAGTCGTTTCTAAGATCACTTTGAGCGACAAATATTGTGCCAACTGTTTGGAAACTGTGGGCATTTCAAACGTAGCGCCCGTGTGCAGGAAGTATGGACGTATTTATGCAGGGTTTTTTTTTCTAAATAAATTGTTTGCCCTCTTAGCGAAGACTTTTCAGTGAACATGACAGCACATGCACTATCAACATGATAGAACACCACCACATTTCAGTAAAAACGTCACGTGGTATCTGGAGAACAGTTTCTTGACCGACGGATCACCCAAGGTCGTACATTGAACTGGCCACCGCCCTCTCCGGAACTCAATTTTTTATACCACGTTGTGTGAAATCATATGAAGAATATGGTGCATGAATAAAAGGCGAACACATAAAACGAACTGCTTTAATGAACCTCTGCTGAAGCAAGGCACGTGAACAATGCTTCGCGTTTACACTTTCCATGTTGAAACGAAACGGAATGTACCTAAAAGCTGATGGCGGACATTTCGAAAAGTTACTTTAAGCTTCGTAAACTATGCAATGTAATCATTTTAGTTTTTCCCCTGTAAAAATATATCTTGAAGTAACATTTTATTGCTAGTGTGGTGGAACTTAGTCCCTTGTACTGCGGCCACTTCTGGCGTATTGTACCAGCCCCAGATGATAGGTGAGGGTGACTGTGGAGCAATTGGTGGAATGAAGATTGGCAGGGGAAACCGAAGTACTCGGAGAAAACCTGCCCCAGCGCCACGTTGTCCACCACAAATCCCACTTGACCAGGTCGCCGCGGTGGGAAGCCAGCGACTAACCGCTTGACCTATGTCCGGCCCCATCTTGCAGTAACAAACTCATTCAATTCGGGATATAATTCAAGTGCTCATAGCTTCGAAATCTTTGAGAGTAGCACATATGTTAGTTACGCATCACGAGTTGACACCCTGTATATGTGTAACCTAATTTCGTGATATGAGATCCCTGGTGATGGAGGAGTTGAGGTTATAATGTATGGGGTGGGACGAGTTTCGTGTTAGTTCTTCCAAAAAGGATAAGAGTATTATCGCAAGCAATTAATTTAATTTGTTGAGGCTCATGAATACAGCAATGAAAGCGTTTGCATGCAAACACTTGAGAAAGTATTTTAAAATAAAAGAACAAGATTTGAACGAAAAGTATACAAAACAAAGTGCAGAAGGAGAAGAAAAAAACACAAATCACAAAATAATGAAAATCACGTGATTTCAACTGAGCTAATATAATGAATAAACAAATCTCACTCATTAAATAACGACTTAACTTAATAACACTTAATAACATCAATTTTGAAGAGGCAATTGAAATTGAGCTTCATCCAAACAAGACAACAGTTTATTTTGTTTGAAAATATTAACACGAAATAAAACACAGTTATTGTGTTTGCGTATTATTGTCGAAAACGTGACTGAGCTGACAGGCAGCAGACTTTTTTTACACAGGCCTCAAGGTAGAGAAAAAAAGGTAAAGCTATCCCTGTAACAGGCCATGGAGGCCCATAGGGTTGTGAGACGTCGAGGCTCCCAAATTATCTAGACAGTCGGCTCCCACATTATCTAGACAGTCGGCTCACAGATTTAAGTGAGGTTGTCAGCCTTACACTCCGTCCGCCATTTACCACCAGAAGATTGCTGGTACGCATTTCTGTTAGATGCTGAGTCGACCCCAGGGCCATAGTGTGGCTGGAAGAATTAGGTCGATTGAAAAATCCAATTACCTCATCAGAGAATCGAACCCACGGCCTTCCGACTTGTAGCATAGTGCCTCAACCAACTACGCCACCGAGTTCCGCTCTGACACAGACATACACGTGGCTCACTTCAGGCGGTGACTATGTTAATAAGTAGGTTAAATATGTACTAATTGTTTGTATATAATGAAACAGCTTTCCGGAGGTTACTTTCCGAATAGTCCTCGTATAAAACAACAACAACATTGATTAGAGCTAAGGAAGACGTGAAGATAAACTCCACACAATGAGGCCTAGCACGTATATGATTCATTATTTAACGGCCAGTGTCCACAAAATCATTGTGCTTTCAGAATATAAACCATCACTATACAGTCAAATCCCAAAATGTTGTCTCTACCTTGTGGTGGTGAGACTTCCGTGACTCTGTGACCTGGGAAGCTATGCCGACCGTGGTTTAACTACTGTTAGGGTGACTCAGGCCGGCAAGATCAAAGGGCAGATTCCAGGATCAAGAGAGATACCCTGGTCTTCCAGGTTTGGGGTCGGGCATGGGTCTAACGACCTCATCCTGTAAAAATATTTCTTGTTCAGAAACCTAACAACCAGCCTCGGATAAAGAAACCGGTTGTAGAGGAGGCCAAGGCTCACCCAAGGCTCTAGCACCGAGTGGTAGGTAGGTAGGTAGTTAGGTAGATGAACAAATTTTCTCTGTGGTATC